AACGGAGTCTTATCTACCTATAGTGCCTTAGTTTTTCTAACTTTATATGTTGTACAAATAAGACTTTTTAAAAAAGGAATTAGAAAAGTAAAGCATTAGTACGGAAAGATGGATCCTGCTGGTAACTCAGTCTCTGTCCTGAGCCCACCGTGCCCACTGCTGTATTAGTAGGAAACCATTTCTTTTTTTTTTTTCTCCCCTCAGAGAATAATTGATGGGAAATCCATTGTATAGAGATGGGGAAAGTGGAATGCGTAATTGGAAGAACCAGCATTTATTCCTCTATTACTCAGATGAGCTGTGGAGGGAGATAAGTGACTGCCAGGAACAAATGAGACCCAGAGAATAAAACAAAAACATTCTGCCCGTGATCTATATCGGTAAAAAAGCTGACCAGCCTCAACCATTAAGAACTCAGCAAGGAAGACGGCCGTCACACCAGTAAGCAGGGAAATGCAACATGATGTCCTGAGTCAACTCCGGTTGTTCAGGCTAGTTTGCAACTTCGAGCACCAAAAGTTCTAGAAGACTAATTGATGGTGCTATTAATAGAAGAAGTTAAATGCATGTCTAGGTGTTTGTGTTGTATGTGTGCATCTTCCCGTACATATATATGTATATATATACATATATATATATGTAGATATGTGAAAGTATTTGGACACAGCTGCATAAAAGACTACAGGGAAGTTTTCTCCAAAGGAGAAAATTGCTGCTTGTCAACAAGACACTTTGAATAAAATAGATGATGTTATCTGGAAACTCCAAGGGTTGGTCAATTAGGCACCTGTGTTGATAAACTCAAGGTGTTACTTTTGCTAAGTCATGATTTGCGAGGACGTGTGATAGGCTCAGACTAAAAACTTGAGAAGATGGGGAGCTGCGGACACGTGTGTGCTCGGGTGTTGGCCCTTGGAGTCCCTCCGTGGTAGAGGAACAGAGCATAATTCCTCTCTCCTTCTGCAACGTGCTGTAAGAGTGAGTACCAGGACTCCCACGATTTCCCCCCTGATCCATGGCTTTCTGGGTTAATCAAGAAGATTAGTAAATGGCTGCACAAACCCTCCACACATACAGTAGGCAGAGGTGTGGTTTGGTGTTGGTTTAATAATAGAGTGTTATCTTGCCCAACAACTGTAATTTCCATGTTCTTATTGATTGTAATTTATAACATCATTAGCTTTCTAAACTGCCATTAACTAATGATGGACTCTGTGGGCTAAACAGCTCTTTGAAATCAGTTACTGACAAGTTGGCCCCAGAAGCATTTATCAAAAGGGTAATGGATCCCTATTGGAGTGACAATAAATTAGGTTATGCTCTTATCGAATTAAACAATGGATGAAGGAAAATTAGCTATCAATAAACATCTCTAAAGCCTTCCCGATTATTCCCAGTCAATTATATCAATTAGAGATCAAACAGGGGACCCCTGCAGTACGTTAAATAGGACTAACCAGAGCCCAAAGAGGCCAAATTGTGTTACAAAATGCAACACGGGGGCGGGGGGCAGCTGCAAAAGAGGTCATCATTACCGCCATTGACAAAAGGGCTGCTTTATTAGAACATGGGGTATCGCCTGGAGGCTTGCCTCTGGCTAAAGGACAAAAAGACTCCCTAATAAAGGCAAAAAGGGGGAGAGACGCAGGAGAGGAAGAACCGGAGGAAGGAAAGGGAAAGTTGTGTGAGGCAGAGAACACAGTGGGATGAGAGAGGGGAGGGGAGACTTGTTTGTGTATGCGCAGCCTATCCTTCTTTCTGATACAATGAAATTAAGGCTTTTGGCTTGTAAGGATGTTTCCCTAGCTCTCTGCAAAACAATGACTTTTGTGGAGGCCATTATCATTTTTAGGAAGTCTTAATCATGCATACATATATATGTATGTATGGGTGAGTGCAGCTGGATACGCAGGTAGGTACATTGGACACATAGATACATAGATAGATGGATAGATACATAAGTCAATATATAGCCACACTCCACTCCATTTCATGGGCTAAGGGTCTTAATAAGCTTGAGCTGATTTTCGTTAAAATTCTTCATTAAATTAGAAAGCTTAATAAAGGGATGCCCATCTGCCTTCGGCTCAGGTCATGAGCTCAGGGTCCTGGGATCAAGTTCCACATCGGGCTCCTTGCTCAGTGGGGAGCCTGCTTCTCCTTCAGCCTGCCACTCCCCCTGCTTGTGCTCACTCTCTCTTTCTCTCTGATTTAAAAATAAATAAATAAAATATGAAAGATTAAGAAAAATGGAACAAAATATGTTTTCAAGTAGTTTGAGATCACTGTTGAGATTCAAGAGGAACTGGACACATGATTTTTTCCAGCGGTTATACCTCAATTTCCTTAACATTTTGTACAATAGATTCCCAATAAACACCTGTTGTCCCGATCTGACAAAAGGCTTGAAGTTCACATTTGGGGAAGAGAAAACCACAAAAGACGGAATAGTGTAGTGGGTATCTGAGGCTATGAGTCCAAAGCTCTTCTGACATATATGCTTTTTGGTCTTGCTGACATTTTTTTTTTTTATAAAAGATGTATATCTTTTTGCACCATGTCTTTGAATTTTATGGACATTTATCATGTGTTTTAGACAGATTCCACTCTATTGTTCTCTGTGAAAAATTGTTCACCAGGAGCACTGCTGATGCTTTGCCTCTGCACATTTTCAGCCCTTCTAGGAACCCAAGGTGATATCTGTTTAAGGACCTGAAATGACCTATTTCCATGTATGATCCATTTTTTTTAAGATTTTATTTATTCATTTGAGAGAGATACAAAGACAGAGATAGAGAGAGCACAGGCAGGGGGAGGGGCAGAGGGAGAAGCAGACTCCCCGCCGAGCTGGGAGCCCCACATGGAGCTCAATCCCAGGACCTGGAGATCATGACCTGAACTGAAGGCAGACGCTCAACCATCTGAGCCACCCAGGCGCCCCGCATGTATGATCCTTAACAAAGCTCTGTTGGGGTTGGCTCTGTTGGGGTAGGCAGAACCTAAAAAGACCTAAATAGAAGCTAAGTAAAGAGGGGAAGGAAAGGCCCGGGGAAGCCAGCATGACCTGCTGCAATGACCTTGGAGCCAGGCAGTGAGTCTTGAGTTCAAATTCCATTTCTGCCACTCATCAGCTCCACTGTCAGCCCATTTGTTTAATTTCTCTCTCCTTCTCGGTAAAGTGGGGGTGTGAAATTGGACTGTGCAGAGTTGTCCTGCTGGTTGGAGGTGATGTTTACACGAGGCCTGCCCGCAGCCCCAACCTCCTCTTGGATTCTCTCAACTTGGAGATTTCAGCCTCCGCGTCTGTGAAGTAGAGCAAGGATCCCTGATATCTCGCTGGCTTTTTGTGAGGCTCAAAAGTGATCATTAGTTGGGACAATCCTATGTCAACTATAAAGCATTAACCCACTGTTAGCTGCTATGAAAAATCATAATCACCATTACTGCTATCTCTCAGAGAGTCTTAGCTTAACACAAGAAATAGTCCACTCGCCTAAATACACACTTCCATAAGGCCAAGTATCTTATTCCTTTGCTATCTCAGGAAAGACAGAACTTAGGGAAAATGTCCATGGCTGCAGAAAATGACCTTGCAAATGTAGGCAACTACCTAAGATTAGATTCTCCAAAACAAAATGCACCACATTTAGTTTCGGTAGCTCAGGAAAATGTGGGATTTATTTTGAAATACCTGAAAAGATGACGCAGTGTGTAATTGTCCTTTGTGGTATAAAGAGAGTTTAAGGGTTGGGTTTGTACTGAGATTAAAAAAAAAAAAAAAACAAGTCGGGAAAGCCAAGTCTCATTGTTGGTGCTGCAAGAGGGTCTTGGCAAATGCTTGGCAGCTATGGTCTTTCCCAGGGAAAGCCATAGTGCCCACATGTGTGTGTGCGAGTGTGTGTGTGTGTGTGTGTGCCTCCTGTGCCTCAGTTTCTCCACCTACAAAAAGGGGCAGAAGATGTTGTAACAATTAAATGAGGTGATACAGACAAAGTGATCCCCAGAATGCTGGGGACACCATAAAGACTTCACAAATGCAGGTCATGTTTTTATTGTTACTGTTGGTGAGTTAAAATACATCAAGTTTCTACTGTGTGTTAAGCACTGTACTTAGATCCTTTTCTTTTGCAAACCTTCTGAGCCATTGTTTCCTCATATATAAAATGAAGATGGTAGTACTTATTTAAAAGTTAGTAAGTGCTGGGGTGCCTGGCTGGCTCACTTGGTTAAGCAGTTAAGCCTCTGCCTTCGGCTCAGGTCAAGATCCCAGGACCCTGCGATCAAGCCCTGCGTTGGGTTCCCTGCTGAGCAGGGAGTCTGCTTCTCCCTCTCCCTCGGCACCCCCCCAACTCATGCTCTCTCTCTCTCTCTCAAATAAATAAATAAAATCTTAAAATATAATAAAAGTAAGTGCTAACCTCCTAAAGATGTCACACAGTTTGTGAGGGACCCAAGATTTACCAACTGCCACACTCTTTCTACTACCCCTTGCTGTCTTCCAGCAAGGTCTGTTGTGAGTCATATCTTATATATATGTTTTTTCTTTCATGTATTCATTACTTTTACTAAAGCTTGGACCAATCCCTTAAAGGTACTTTATAGATATTAACTCAAAGGAAATGTGAATTACGCTTAAGGGAAAAGGAATGTTACTCTTCATCCTTCTTGTTTTAAAAAATGAGGAAGTACACTTCCCTGCAAATAATGGAGCCACTCTTTTCCAACATTTATTCTAAGTCTTTTGTGTTCATGGATGGCATAGCACAAGCCCTTACTACTACTAAGTGTCAAATGCATCCGTGCAATCTCACAAGCAGGATAAATAAATTATAAAAAGATACGGCCTTTCCCTGAAAAAGTGGGTAGCTTAATAGTTGTAAAGCTGCCTGAAAAAGAATGATTAGTCACCACTCTGGGGATATGGTAATCTTGTAGTGATAGGAGTATGACTATGTCTCTATACAGAGGCCACAATGAATGGGTGTGCATGTACACACATATGTATAAATCTAAGATTTATTTTGTTTCTGTAAACAATGATTTGTTCCGATTACTTCTACATACATAGAAGTGTTATGCGCCAGAAGGTGTCAGTGTGGGAAGGGATGATGTGTCTGGCGGATATTGGAAGGAGGTAAGAATCATAAAGTTCTGATCTGAATTTGAGAAGCTCGCAGAGGGAGAAAGAATGAACATACACTGAATACAGGGGGAAAGTTTTTTAAACATTTTATCAACTTAGATAGGTTATAGGACAGTAAAGAGTAGAGAAAGGGTTTATAATACATATTAACTCTTCAAAAACGCTATAGACCCTCTGAGTTACATTGGACTGACTTGAGTCTACTTGCCAATAGCATCTTTTTTGTTTTGTTTTGTTTTTGGTTCTACAGTACACCGTCTGAGTGGTGACATGTGGATACCAACTGCAGTATTTTCAGCATCTTTCCCCAGACCACATTTTCTTGCTATTCCAATAGGGAAAGAGAAATAAAAGGAAGAATTTACCGAATTCCTATTAGGCCTTCCAGTCTGGGGATCCCCTCCTGACTCGTTCCATCTGGGCCTAAGCATGTGAGGCTTTGCCTGGTGGATGTACGATCTGATAGGACAGCCTTTAAAATATACAGAAGAAAAAAAAATTTAGTTAACACAAATGCTTCTTAAAGCATAAATATGTATTTAAAACATTTGTAGCTCCATATTACAAAATGCATATTAATGTTAGCAGTAGACAAAATGATGCACAATAAAACGCAGATTTTAATTCAATACAATGTCTGAAATTAGCGAGTTAAATTAGCTACAGTAGTTAAGGTTTATAAATTAGCTTCACTGAAGCTACACAAGATTTCTGAAAGAAGCATTAGCAGTAGAACGTGCATTTATCACTCTGAAATAGACACACTCTGCCACGTTGCTTTTGAAATCATCTGGGTGGCCTTGAATGAACTTGTAGCAGTTTCATTAAAGGCTTGCTGGCATCATTTGGTCTGTGATTTCAATTTGTTCAACTGGCCACTTTAAAGAAAGTTAATTTCTCTGCATGTTTAAATGTACTGCCTGGTGCTCCCACATTTACACATCAGATTTCTATGAGCAGTTTCTGCCTTTGATTCCCTAGGACTTTCCACTAAATTCATTTAAACACATGTCTATTAAGCACCTAGTACGTGGTGGATATGGTTCTCAGTCTTGAGGATACAGCAGTGAACAAAGCAACAATTCCTGACCTTATATGCTTTTGTTCTGCTTGAGGGGTACCAATGATAAAGAAGTAAAATACAAATGATTTTATGCTTATCAAAATGTCTACAAGAAGAACAGAGCAGTTAAAGGATGGGACGCATACACGGTCTGGGAAGGGGAAAGAGTGTTGAAAAAGTTGATAAAGGCCAAGGAGGACCTCCCTGAGAAGACAATATTGAAGCCAAGACCTAAAGGAAATGAGAGAGGGAGGCATGTAAATATCCAGGGAAACAGAAGACAGAAAAAAATGGCAAGTGTAAAGGCCCCCCGGGGCAGGAGTGCTTAAGGAACAGCAAGGAAGCCTGAGTGGTGGGAGTAACTGGGAGAGTGTAGGAGCTGAGGTCGGAGGGCTAAGGGCAAACAGACTAGCGAGGAGCATGTCAGCTGTGGTAAGGACTTTAGCTTTTACTGTACAGGAGATAGAAGGTCATTGGGGGGTTTTGGACAAAGGAGAGATGCTTCTATTATGCGTGTCTTTTAATCTTTTGAACCAGGGACCAGTACATACGGTCAGATGAGTGAAACAAGTGGTTGCTGCTGTGATCATAAAAAGAATACGAAGGTCCAAAGCGTGGTGAGAGGCAGGGATAATGAGGCAGAGACCTTTGTGTGCTCCCATGCTTGAGTATAACCAACAACACATCTCCCCTCCGTATCTCCTAACTCTTTCCCTAAATCATCCAGAATTTAAGATGAAGCCAAGCAGCGAAAGGTCCATATCAACCTCCATTCGCTGATTCCTCTAACTCCAAATGTTCTACTCAAATAGAATTTGGCTTAAAAGAATACAGAACTGAAAATGACCCTCCAAAAAGGCCTCGTCCTAAAAATAAAAGCCTTTCTTAACCAATCCCTTGATTTTTAGAACCCATGCATGTTTTCTTTCCTATCACTAGCTGCTTTGCAAGTGGGCATGTGTTACTAGTGTTTTAACAACCCCCCAGCTTGCTGATCACCCAGGAGGCATCTCACCATAAAAAAGAAGTGACATCCCTATTCACTAACATTCACTTGGTATAAATTGTTGCTATCTTAGGCAAGCGGCTGCATATCTCTTTGTAGGACAAGATTGTACACAGAAAGGTTGATGGTAAATTCTTTTCTTGAAGCGTGGAATGTATGAAGGGCAGTGCCCATGAACTCAGTCAGGTCTTGAAACTCAAAAAAAGCGTAGTGCCGTAGAGATGACTCCGGGGATTCCTTGGCTCTCTTACCACCAATTGTGTGATGACAGTAAAGCACTCTATGATTTTTGAAGGGGGTGATTTCCCAAAGTGTCTTTTTATCCCATAATTTGGAACTTGGAAGACATTTTCCCTGAGAAAGAAGATTATTGATGGTGTTTGGATTCCCAGATGAGCTCCTGAAGCCTCCTTGGCCCAGAGGATGGTTAGATTGTAGCAAAGATGCGGTATCTGGGAACGCTAGGTCACCCAAAGGAGGAGAAGGAAGAGGAAGAAGAAGGGTTTCTTCCCTCATTCAGTCACTGAGATGAACCCAGGCAACATTTAGAGACTGATTTGTCAGGTATCTCCTGTCTTCCAATAGACACCCCTTTCTCTTACCCAGCAGCCCTCTCCCCCGTCTAAAAGCATGTAACCCTCTGGCCTGCCTCTCCCCAAAGGGAGGCACAATTCCAAACGACTCATCTCACCTCCCCCTCAAACAAAACTCCACAGTCTTCAAGATAGCTGGTCGGAGCGACACCCTGGGAGGCACAGTGATCAAACGACTTCATGCCAGTGAGCGAATGATTGATAAGCCAGTCGTGTACGAAGTCTAAAGAAAGGAAAAGAATTTATGCTAATAAATTTAGGGTTGGTAGAATTTCTGTCAGCATGGCCACTAGTAGAGAATGGAAGGAGGAAGTCCACCAGGAAGTTGCACCTGGAAGTGGTGTGTTTCCTGATGGGCCTCGCTTTCCTCAGAATATCCACTCTCTCTAATTTTGAGCCTCGGTCTAGGGTTCAGTTTTCCACAAAGATGCAACAGAGGTGGCAGTGTTTATGGTGACAGGTGTGGGTCCCATGTGCCTGGGAATGTGGGGGAAGAGCACTAGTGAGTGAGAGGTGGAGGGAAAGGCGCTAATTTTTAATTTCAGTGTCAACTTCAAGGATAAGCAGCCCCACATCCCTGAGAGCCATTCACGCTCACTTACGTTCGTTTTACTTTGTTGTTATGCTTTTTCCAAGCTCAATGAGTATGAGTTTTGAACAAAATAAGCTGTTTTAAAGGCAACTTATTGTTATCCTCATAAAAACAAAGCATTACAATAACTGACATGAAGAATATAAAGCATCTCGTGTGTCTTCTCTCATGTCTAGGTGTCTGCAAGCTAGTGATTTTATGACACTTTTCTTTTTAAGTAGAATATTACCTTTCAGCTTGGAAATGAACAGAAAGCCCCAGAAGTTTTTGCTCCATGGAAATAAATAAGAATCATGCCTAAAATAAGAACCTAGAATGGTTATCACTTCAAAAAAAGCGCAGCTGAGCCACTACCATAAAACAATAATAGAAGAATTCCAAAACATAGTCAATTTATAGCTGCGCTCAGTGGCATAGTTTAAATTCCAGAGCCTCCAAGCATATTTTTGCATAGGAACTTGGCTGTAGTTTCTCCCCCCATCCTTCTCTATACACCTCATCCTGTAACCCCCTCACCGCCACAAACAAAATGCCTCCGTCATAAATCAGAGGGCCGTCCCGCCCTCACAGCCCCTTACTAACTCCTGGGAGCACCCAAGCGAAGAGCACCCATAGCAGGGAGCATTGCGAATAGGGTTGGAAAGGAAGACTCGGCTATTTTATTGACGATTCCCTCCTTCCAGTTTCCTATTGCCTTTTGCATAAGTTGCTAACAACCAAATTAGTTAACGTTCAGGCCCTGGAAACTTGTGAAGTCATCATTCCTTTCTAAAGAGCACAGTGGGGGTAATTCTTCGTTTTATTTGTTTTCTTTTACATTCACCCTATCTCTCTTTTTTCCTTCCTTAGTTCATGCTCATACGGTTTTCCCCTCTGTGCCTCAGCTATATATTGCTTTGAAAAATCAATAAAACCTTTGCACATAATAATGCTTACCTACTCTACCTCACAGGGGTGCTGTGATGCGTAATTAATTAATGTGTGTAAAGAGCTGGGGGCTCACACGACGCAAGACACCCTAGAAGTGGGAAGAATCATTATTAATAAGTGTTATTACCCAATGCCTCTAGATGTCAGCAAAACATCTTTTTAAAAAATATAATTGGGCAGCTAGTTTTGAAAAGCCCAAGTTCATCCTTTCTCGCATGCAGGGCACACACAGAAAGAAGGGCATCAGTACCAATGCTGGTGGAGCCTTTTCTTTTGGCCAAGGGAGGCTCATTTAATCTGAGAGTATGAACTTTGAATAGAAGTAAGCGTTGGAACAAAGCAGCACTTGAATGCCTTGAGGTCTGAATGGGTGGCAGGCTGCGTCATGTTCTGGACAACCCGTATGAAAGATCAGTCTTTTCTCTAAAAATAGCATTTCATTTCCTCATCTCTGAAGCAATTGGTGTTGGCAGTGAGTGGACGGGAGAAGAATCTATGGATAGATAGATATAGTATCTATGTGCATATATTGTGCATATATTGAATGGGCGCACATTTTCTCTGTCCACTTTTGTGTATGTGTATATACCTTTATATATATTGAGAGAGAGAGACAGAGACAGAGAGGCAGACACACACACGGAGTAAATAACAGAGAAATAGGTGGGAGCAATTCTCACGGTTCTGAATCCAATGATGTCTGCTGTGCAGGCTTCATTCCCCGACAGAAAGGTGAACGTGAAAATTACGGCAATTTTCCACAAAGTGCAGGCAATGGCAGCCCAGACCGATTTTCAACAGAAGACAAAAAGCAACCTAAATGACCGGTTGTTGATGTTTATCTCAGTGCCCAGTTATTCAGGTCTCTGCTTTCTTATTGTCCATCATTTGGTCCATCCAGGGGGGTGGAACTGTGAGCAGTGACCCAGGAGAGGAAACTGCAGCCAGGGAAGCCTACCAAGAGACTTCTCAGCAATGTGAGTGCTGCGTGGTGGCAAAGTGTGAAGGAAGACAATAAAACTCAGCTGGGAAAGTGCATTCCCTTAAACGTGTTTCAGTTCGACTCAACACACCTTGGTTTTGTGGTTGGGTACAAAGTTTAGACAATTTAACTTAGCAAGTACTTCTTAGGTAAAAGTTTTATTTCAAAAGTGCCCACAATTAAAAAAAAAAAAAAGTCCCTGCATGTTATGTTTAAGTCAATATAGGAAGTTTCAAATTATTTTCTTTTCCATTACTCAGCATCACACAGACTTTATTTCTCAAGGGAGCTTCACAAGGAAGTGTTTGACTGTCTATTCTGGTTTTGTTTTAGGTGACTAGGGAAGTTTTTTAAGGAGTCTGGCTTCCCAGGGAAGAGCAGACACCAGCCCGTGCCCCGGGCTGTGCACCTGTGCGCTCATCCGAACCTCTTGGGCAAGAGTGGAATTGCCCTTGAAGAATCTGGGATAGCTTTCTCCAGCTAGACCCTGAGGCTCCACCCACTGCGATAGGATGGAACAGGGTCTGGGCTTGGCATTGACAATGAATGTGGTCATTTGCTTTACTTAATTGTGCCTCAGTTTTGTGACTGACAAATCTGAACCCCAGAAAGATGACCAAGGAGAGAGAGAGGGGAGGTATAGCAAGAGAGTGAGAGGAAATACAAACATTGTTAATCAGCATTTTCTTCCATAAATTTAAAATTGCATCTAGACTAGTGAATCACGTAGAGCTTTGCTATTATTTTGGAGGGACAAACATAAAACTTCACCAGAGCATTTCAGAAAGACTCAGCGGTGTGAATTTCCTACAGGTGTGTGGCTGGTGGCTGGTGGTTGGTGAGGAAGGTTTCAGTGCACATCTGCCATCAGTCCCCCTCTCTATTTAACCTCCCAGCCTGTCTCCTCCTGCACCATCACCCTGCTCCTCCTGACAGGTCTCCTTACCTACACAGAGATTAAACCAATCTTTCAGTTTCCAGGTTTCCCTCACGGGATTGTCATAAGGCTTAATTAAATAGTGTTCATAAAGCATTCGGCTGTTCAGGTGTCCCTGGATAAAATGCAAAGCACAATATTATTGTGATTATTATTAATTAGGATGATCCTGTCTGAGGCAAGGGATGTTTCCTGCCAGCTTTGGAGAGTTCTACCATGGCCTTTAGCTCTGCAGAGAGGATTTGCAATTCAGATGGCTGAATTTGTAATCCTTGATCTTAGAGGAATCTTAGAGAACAAGAGGGATGCCAGAACAGATGACCAGGAGTTGCCAAGGGTAATTTTTAAGAGGAATAAAGGAAAATTTGGCAAACAACCTGCTAAGGCCCTTAATTCTAGTATTACTCCTTCCAGAAGCATCAGGACTTTTTGCTAAAGGGCTGGCTTAAGAATCCTGGGGAATGTAGTAGTGATCATTAAGAACCAACATGGGGTCACCCAAAACAAGCAGTTTCTATCATCTCCAGTGCTTCCTTTGATAGGATCCTGAGACCAGGAATGAGGGAAATGTAATCAACACAAGAGCAAGACTTCAGGGAAAAAATCTGTAAAAGCCTTGCATGAGAGCTTCGTGGACAAGTTTGAGGACCAGAGCATAAATAGTCAGCATGCAAACGGCAGATGCCATAGGGAACTGGTTAATGGGTAGGAATGGAACTGGGGGGCAAGGCTTCATCGGGGACTCTGCTTTGTTTAACTTTTTTTTTTTTAAAGATTTTATTTATTTATTTGACAGAGAGAGAGAGAGAGAGCACAAGTAGGCAGAGTGGCAGGCAGGGGGAGAGGGAGAGGCAGGCTCTCTGCTGAGTGGGAAGCCCGATGCGGGGCTTGATTCGAGGACCCCAGGATCATGACCTGAGCCGAAGGCAGCCGCTTAACCGACTGAGCCACCCAGGCGCCCCTTTGTCTAACATTCTTAATTGATGCCTTTAAAATGTCATTTTATTTGGAATGACAATGAACATATCAAATATTTTTTACATGTTGATGAGTGGGGCTTGATAGACTAATTCTCAGAATATGAAATTCAGCAGGGACAAAAATAAAGCTCCACACATCAAAGTGCCAAAGGCGGGGCACAAAGAGACATGGATAAGCACAGAATATGTGAGTTTGGACACTCAGCAACTTGGCATTAGGCTGTGGCATCCGAGAAAGCAAGATACAATCCAGACCTCATCAACCGAGTATGTTGTTGAGTTCTAGGCAGAATACAAGGGGAATCCAACAAACTGGGGCATGGAATATATGGTCTTTGAGGGGAGAGGCTATACATTATTCAGTGTGGTATCACCACAGCCTAACATACCATCTGACAGAGTAAAGACTCAATCGGTGCTGAATGAACAAATTTAGAATTTGGAAACATGCCATATGAAGCAAGGCTGATGAAAGTTATTGTATTTAACTTGGAAAAGAGAAGACTTGGAATAATATGATCACTATCTTAAAGTATTTGAAGGAAGATTGCCATGTGACAGAGGGACAACATAGGTCCTAAATGGCCCAATGGATTACACAGGTTGTAGGGCACCCAGGGCTCCTCAGTTGTACACTTTTGGTGGCAGCATTCACATAAGAAATGGCTCAGGAGCCCTAAAGATGTGCCAGTATACAGCCTGCGCAGCGATACAAGTGACCCTGAGAGTTCATAAACTTGAAACTTTTTCCTCTATTGAGCCAAAAATCAAAGCAAGCTTTACAAAGATACTATGGAGCTGC